CCCCAAAACCCCAAAACCCCAAAACCCCAAAACCCCATAAATGCAGCCAAGGTTGAACAGGTTGATAATATTAATAAAAAATACATTTGGAATAATGATCACCCTTACTGCAATTTTATGGAAGCTCGCAATTTATTTCGGGCTCTTCATTTTGGCTTATGTTATATATTTGGTTTACAAGCTGATCTTGTCGCCTTACTTAGTGTATCTGAAGTATAAGAAATACTCTAATGTTTATACTACCGATAGATTTTACCCTCTCATTGGTGATGTTAAAGACGCTCTCAAAGATATGAAAGACGGAAAAGCTCATTACTGAAACAGAATCAGAGATGCTGACAAGCTTAAAGACTTTGATATGAGACTAAGATATGAAGGCATTGATCCTGTCATGCTGATTCTCTCGAATGAAGCCACTGAAGAGATTATTAAGATGATGCCTCATCATGTTGACAGAGCTGATACTAAGAAAGGCATTTACAAAGCAGGCAAACACGCATTTATATTCAAACCAAGCACTGAAAAGACAATGCAGAGAAGAAAACTCATGGTCAGTGAAGTCTCCTTCAACAGGTCTTCAAGATTTGTTCCTTTCATTGTTCAGAGTACTCTGGATATCATTGATAATTGCATGGATGAGAGCAAGGTTCATGAATTCGTTGAAATCTCTAATGTTCTTACTTTTGATGCGTTTACTAGTATCTTATTCGGAAGTGATCAAAAAGAGTTAGCTAACAAAAAGTATCCTTTCGTTATGCCTGATGGCTCAACTAAAGGAATGTGTTTAAGAGACTGTGTCATCAACAGCTTCAAGGACCACTACTCCCAACTCTTCCACCCACTCACAGCAATGGCGAGGTTCCTTAGTGATTACAACTTATGCAATCCATTCAAGAGAGACCAAAAGAATTTAGATACTTATCTAAATGCCTTAAAGAAAATGTTTGAGAATGCAAAAGATCCTAACTCTATCTCAAAGAGGATTCTTGCTAACTCTGATTTATCACACTTTGAGAAGCTTCATGACATTAATGCATTCATGGCTGCTGGTGCAGAGACCTCTTCTCATGGTGTTGCTTCAACTATCTTCTTGTTAAAGAAATTTCCTGAGAAACTCGAGAAGCTAAGAGAAGAACTAAAAAATCATGGAGTCACAAAAGAATACATCAGACAAGGAAAATTCTCAATGGAAGATCTTGCTGAACTTGATTATTTGAGCTATGTTGTGAAAGAATCTTTCAGGTATGAAAGCCCAGGACCGGAAGCATTCGTGTACACCCCAAAAAGAGATATTACTATTAGAGGAGTCCCAATTCCAAAGGGAATGATGATAAGGAATGAGATCTATAGTACCCACTATAATCCTAACTACTGGTACAAGCCATTTGAGTTCGCTCCTGAAAGATTTGATGTAGAGTCTTCCTTCTATGCTGAAGCAAGGAAGGCAGGCAAGACTGGGCCTACTCATTCTAGGAGAACCTTTGGAGTAGGAGTTAGGTCTTGTCCAGGCATGTCATTCGCTACTCTTGAGATTAAAATCGCTGTAGCAGTTTTTTCTGTGATGATTGACTGGACTTTTGAAGGAGATCTATTGACCAGAGAAGGAGCAAGATTCGGAATTGGAAGTGAAGTGCCTTGACTAATGAGAATTAAGAAAGACTATTAACGAATTCACAGTTTATGATAAAATTATTTTTCAAAGTTGACGTCATCGACAACTCAGAAGAGTTTGGGGATATAGTGAGCCTACATAAAGAAGGGGGAGTTAGGGGAAGATCGATAAAGCATGGGTGGTTTAGTAGCTTATTTAGGAAGTCTGTCATTTTTTTTATTTTACAGTTGGAGATGGCTTTAAGTCCTTGATTCATTGAAAACAGTCCAATTCAACGCCATTAGGAACAGATGGGGTTTTGGGGTTTTGGGGTTTTGGGGTTTTGGGG